GAGAGAGAGAGAGACACGTACACATGCATACGTATATACGTAATTAGCGTATATACGTAATTAGCTGTTTTTAACCGATAATAAGTCTTTATTTTTCTTATTCGTAAATTTGCCTGAGGCTTGTAGCTCCACTTATATCCTTATACAAGTATACAGCAAGTGGACCATAAAACGGTCAAGGAGCGCCTCAAATTGCTCCTAAGACATACAAATTTATTTTTCGTACAATATTCAACGTCTCTCCGGTCCAAAATGAGACAGTCAGTTTTATATATCTATATAATTATAAAAAGATACGTAAGATACACATACACACACACACACACACACACACACACACACACACACACACACATATACATATACATGATTATAAAGAATCTATTACCGATATCTTTCTTATTTCTATAAAAAAATTTTTATTTAGGAAACAGGAACTTTAGAGTTTAAAAATTATTATAAAGTATACATGTTTTTAAAAGAAAAAAGGATAACTTAATAATATTAATTTATAACTTATATAAAAAAATCCATAAAGCACATGTATAAAAAAAGAATAAGAATAGTATAAAAAAAGCAAGTATAAAAATATCTCAAGATTCTAGAATTTTGAATCTATATGAAATAAAATTTTTGTTTTACTTTTGGTTAAATGTATCTGAAAGTATTATACATTACCGATAATTATCCATGTCCGGACTGGGGGAGTGGTGCTCGTCCGCTGGTCTTAGGGTAGCCGGTATAGAACTACGGGACCTTTTGCGCGGTGGCGGAGCGAGTCCACCGTCGTCCGACTCGCTGCTCGAGGCCAGGCTTATGCGCGTACCACCCCGTTTTTCACACTATTATTATTCCCCGAGATAATTGTTGGCAAGTACTAATACGGATTGGGGCTGGGATGGGAGCACTCGCGCAGCCACGATTGCGTTAGAAATGAAAAAAAGACCTGGCCTAGCTTTCCCCCCGTTTTTTCTCTTCTCACCACTTGTCGCGTCGAATCTTAAAACGTTCGCACTTCCTCGCGTGTCCTTTGATGCGGATCATTTACTGTCGTTATTCCCGCCGCTTCCGCTGGCCGCGAGATTCGATGGTGAAACCGAAGAATCTAGGATCTATCTGCCAAAACCGATATGAATCAGGGAACAATGACTGCAACACAGCTGATACTTGTTTGGATCCGTCGTTTACGTCACGTCGTGCTCTTCTTTACGGATAAATTAGCGATCGTCACGCCAACTATATCCGCTCGTTACGCGCACGGATTAGGCCTGTTCTACAATGCGTCGTCTGTCGATGTGTGGCCGTGGGCTGTAAGAATGGGCCAATCACAATCAAGTATTCTTCCCACATTCGTCTGTGATTGGTCAATTCTTGTGGTTGCGACTTGCGACACTGCATGCGAGGTATTGTAGAACAAGCCTTATCGCAAACTATGTTTATATGGGCAACGATAAGGTTAGGCCTATTCAGACAAATTTGCATACCAGCATAACTATATGCATAAGGAAAATTACCCAATCGCATTTCTATTATAAAGACATATGTAAAATGCGATAATTTTCTTTATGCATATAGTTATGCTGCTATGCAAGTTTGCTGGGTAGGCTCTTACGGCCGGGAGCACACACTTCTGCATAACGCATAAGAAAATGAACCAATCATATTCCTCCATTTCTACACCTATAATAGAAATGAAAGACTCCGATTGGTTCATTTTCTTATTCGTTATACATTATTAAAAAGTGAAAAAATTTGTGTTCCCTCTTGCACACATTTTCTACAACTAGACATAAAATGTACTGTAAAAATTAACCAATCAGAGCTAAGGCCATTCTAAGTAAAAAAATCTTATAAATGTAAAGTCGTAAAAAAATGGACCAATCAGAATTCGTCTATTCTCCTTAAATAAAATTCAAAAATAATTGACTATGAATGGTCAATCCGCCTTACGTCTTAGGGTGTATCTAGGACAAATTTGCATGTTGATATATTTGAACATCTATATTCGTATTAATTTAAACAATCCAATTAAAAAAAATAAACATTTTTAAGATATTAATAGATTTTTTATATTATACATCCAAATAATACACTCTTAATAAAATCGTTCATGTTTAATAATTTTTCTTTGGCAAAATTATTTTTGAAATTCAGATATATGAAAAAGAAATGAATAAAAGATTTGTTTTCAAAATTTAATTCAAAATATTACGAATAATTATAGAGTCATACTTTTTATATTTCTTAGCATTTTTTTCATAAGAAATTTTTATAAGAAAATTTTTGACTTAAATATGACAAATTTTATAACAATTTTTGTATATAATTTGTGACAATCTAAGATATCCAATCATTTTTTAATATATACTTGTGTGTTTTCTTTTTTTATTTTTATTTTATATAATTTTATCTTATTTCCAATGTTAATTCAAAATTTAATATAAAATTTCCTAGAGAATATTCTGACATTTTTTAGACGTCTTATAATCGTCTGTAAGAATCGTGCTCGTATAGTGATGCAAAAACTTGGTGCAAGTCTTCGGTAATATATACAAATATATGCACGTATAAAGCTGGGCATGCATTATTAAAAAAAAAGTCGTGCGAGAGATATAGAGTATGCGTAAAAAATTTGGATACAGTTGAATATATCTCATAAAGAACTCAATTTTGAGAAAAAAATTTCAGACTAAATTTGTAAGACTTTTGAGGCACTCTGTATGTAAGACAATTAAAGGAGATGATTAATTCAAAATTATCTAATTATATTCGAAATATAAATCGATTCAAGGTTATCAAATTATTCATGTTCTTTTACATGCTTTTACATACTTACATCTATTATAGTCTGTAATAAATTTAATGGATCAATCTCTATGATAAAATCATATATCATGATATACCAATAACTTATAAAGAATTAAAGTAATGTATTTATAAATACTGCTTTTTATATATATTTATAAATGTATAATTGTTATAACATATAAAGTTATACATTATACAAGAGTTAAAAGCGTTTTTTTTATATTTAATGCTTTCTTCTTAGAGTTTACTATAACAGCAGCTTTCTAAATTTCATATGTAAATGGTATTAAAAAGATGAGTACAAAGAATTACACAAATCAATAATTGTTTTTATACAATATAATAATATATTAAAATAATATCAACTATGTATATATAATAAAGTAATTAAATATCTTATACATATACAAACATCGCATTTATAATAGTTTTCATGTAACATCATTAAAGAATTATGAATGTTTTTATAGTCAAAGATTTTATGTAAGTAGATGAGTCCTCTGTATGTAACTGTATAATTGACATAATGAGAAAATAAGAAAATTAATATTTTGATTTCGCCATATTAATTAAGATTTTTGTTGATAGAATTTTATTCGTTTCATTGATTGTCTATAATAATCTAATATTCTTGCTCAAAATACATTCATTATTTATTCATGTTACTTTAAAATCCAACTATATCTCCCTATTGATCATTTCATAATATGATTTCAAGAGCAAGAAACTAAACAAATGCACAAGCAAGTAAATTAAGTTTACACAACTGGCTGTTTCTTAATAAAATTATTTTAAGTCAATAAAACAAATATAATCATAAAAGACTTGTTATTAATAAAGAGAATCATAATTCTTTTAAAAGAAGGTAACTGTCAATTTTATCGTTATCTATTCAATTGATGCAAAAATAGATTATCAGATTTTTCAAATCAAGTGATAAAATTGCACAGTACTTATACTTATAAATTACTTAAATAATTTACATATTACAAGCAAAGTAATCACCTTTGGTTTCAATATATTTGTTCCATCTAGGAAAAATTTCTTAATTCCTTTCTTCTAAAAATTGCAGGTTTCTAACTTTATTTAAAATACAGTGTAATAGAAAAGTATGTATGTGAAAAATTTTTGTATCAATCTAATAATAGTCTAAATGCATGCTTAACTTATTTTATATTTCTATAAAATATATTAAGTTGACAGTCGAATTTATATCACATCTTATAAATATGTTTTATCAAACTTCGAAAATTATTTATATAGATACAAAATGCTATCATTGACATGTATTTCTCTGCTTTTAACAAGTTAATCAATACAATCTCTTAAAAAATAGCTTTTGTGCATTTAGAATATGTATAAATCTTATTCCACAAAAATTTTCACAAAGGAATAATACTATTACATAAATAAATATGTATAAAATTGCAAAACAATTTTTTGTATTTTAGCATAACAATATTAAATTCATTCATGTAAAGGATATCAAAAAATATGTAACTAATATACATTATAATTCAATAACATGAACATTAAGATTTATGTAGAAAAAAAAATTTCTATTTAAGCGCATTCGGATTTATAAATTTTCAAATGTTTCGACTCTTAGTTCTTCATATTTCTGATCTTTTAAAAGTTTCTTAATTTTCACATTTAGTCTTTTGGATTTTAAATATTCAGAATTTACAATTGTTTACATTCTGAAATCCGAAAGTATTTGAAATCTCATTTCTCAATTTCTTTTCCTAAGATTATTAATTATACAAACAAAAATTACCTTGAAAATGTTGAATATCATTTAAAAGCACCTTTTTAAAATTATATAATAAATCGAAAGAAAAAAGTTACGCGTATTTGTTTTAGGACATTTTGTATAAATACTGGATTATCAAGATGTATACAGAATTATCATATTATTATAATATATACATATACGTATGTATGTAGTTGCGCGCGTGTGTATAAATGTATATGTACGTACATTTATGCATAGAAAATTTATTTTAAGTACATATAAACTATCGTCTACATTTTATAAAAAAATCATATTTTTATAATCTAAGATTCTTGAATTCTTATATCCCAAAATTCTTGCATTCGTAAATAATTACTAAGTTTTTAGAAAAAACAGAATCTTTACAGAATTCAGAATTCATAGAATCCTAGATATTAGAATAAAGTTTAAATATTTTAATGTTCTCAATTTTTGGAAATAAAAGCATAAAGTATGCTAAATTGGAATCCGCAGATTTTCCTCATGGATTACATAACAAGTCTTAATCATATAATCTTATCTTATATATCTTATTATATATCTACTATTGAATTCTTTTGTGAATGTTTTAAATCAATATTACATATATCACTATTGTTATTAAATTGTTTTTGAACGCATTTATAAAAATATAAGAAAACAGCACTGTTCATTTGTATTTTTTTCTTTAAAGTGTCACAAAGTCATTTTTTTATGTGTCTGATATATGAGATAAAAAATTTGAGTTATTAATTTTTTAACCAATTTATGATATTTGGAATAATTGGAATTCAAATGTACATATTGCATGAAAATTTCATAAGATTTCAGAAGAAAGAACAAACTTGCTAATTAATAACTATATTACAATGAACTTTTTAATAAATTTTTCTTGCTTTTTTTCTCTTTTATTTTGCTATTTGTCTTTGCATGTAAACTTAATTTCTTAAAAATAATGATAATATACAATATTCGGTTTAAAACGTAAAATAACATATTAATGTACAAAAAGTTGTATTTAGAGAGATTAGTGCAGATTATGTAAATCCATTTACATAAAATCTTTGGTAAATTCATTAATCATTGATTCATTATTTTAATAAATACAGGAATGAAACAAAAATTAGCTGTTTTATTATGATATAGATATTTATAAAGAATTCAACAAAAATATAAGTTATGAATAATACAAAGCATCCTACTTTTATTTGATATTATTATATTAAAAAAGTCTATACTATTTTGAAACATAATATTTGATAATATTTTTTTGTTACAATTAATAACAATTATTTTATATTACCTATTATATTACACTAATATAATTAAGCTGCGGATATATTGTTTGATACATCAGCAAGAAATTGTTTCAGAGATTGAAAAAAATTTTTTTATTCCACACAATAATTCGCAGATTTAGAATCAAATTGCACAAAAAACTTTTACATTTTACAAAAAATATGGTGAAAAAGAATATCATCAAAAAAATATAAATAATTTGTATAATAAAAAGATTTACAGGATATATAACATGTTTCATAGTAATGTATTATATTTTCAATAATTAAAAGATATAATAGCAGGAGATATGTCATTATCAAATTTCCCAAGAATTATAAGAAAATAAAACAGCTGACAACTTTTGCTTCTTCTTCCTGTATGTGCATTGTCAAGAATTATACGCATTATGTTCTGCATACGTATATGCGTTGTCTGTTTTCCACTTCTTTTACAAATAACTTTGATTTTCTCCGTTATGCAAAAATGCTTCACTCGTGTAGTACACTGCATCAAAGAAGATATAATCAATAGGATGTTCTCTCAACTATGTGGATGGCTCTCTCTCAACCGACGCTATCACCCATCATTTCGGTTTCTGCCTTAAGTTCAAGGTTTTCCATATCTTCATCTGCAATCGTTTCTCTATCCGTATCAATAAACTGTTGACATATAAAATATGTTATAAATATTATTATATTATATTAAATATATTAATTATATTAAATGTATTAAATATATTAAATATTGTTTT